TTCTACCAGCTTAATCCATATATTTAGAAATAGAAGGAACTGTAGCAGTATATATTTGGAAAGATTTTATATTTTGTGCCTGTCTTCTACCAGCTTAATGTATATATTTAGAAGTAGAAGGAACTTGTAAATAAGGTTAGATATAACTAAAAGCCATTATTTACCGTAAATACAATCTAATAGTGGTTCTGTAATTGATGTTGAGTTATTCTGGAATATATTTTTGGCAAATATGCTTGCAAATTAGTAGTTGATGTCCAATTCCTCTAGAAAATATGTTCCTTCAAGTGATTCCTCTGAAAGGCCTTATGTTCCTGCTAGTGACTACTTTAACTGCTTAAGCGAGAAACTGAGTAATTTATTTGTGTACAAGACAAATTGGAAGCTCTGGTACATCTGATGAAGTCAATGTGCTCTTTCCTTTCAGGCATGCGCTGAATGTGCAAATATTCATATAGATGCACCGGTCAGACTATGCGGAGAGACAGCTGAGGGTCATGCAGCAGATTGATGAGGATCATACACTGACGCAACTTGCAAATGCATGGTTGAATCTGGCCGTGGTATGGGATACTTTTCTTTTTAGTAACACGATAAATGAGAAACAATAGATGGTTTAATGGCATTTTCTATCTTATCAGGGTGGTTCCAAGATACAGGAAGCCTATCTGATCTTCCAAGATTTCTCTGAGAAATACCTTATGACTGGATTGATCCTCAATGGGAAGGCTGTCTGCTGTATGCATATGGGAAGCTTTGATGAAGCTGAAACACTTTTGCTTGAAGCACTTAATAAGGCAAGCATAATCTGTGGCAATTTTTTGTTTTCTCAATTTTATCTTATGATTTCGCTTTTCTTTTGGTGTTTGTTTATACCTCCAAGAACAAGATTGGCTACAGCTATTGTGTTTCATGATTATAAATTACAGTTCTTTCAGATTTAATACGCATCAAGTTTCAATTAGTGTAAATATAACCTCTGAATGGCATCAAATGATTGTGAATTTGACTCTTAAACTTCTTCCAGCCCTTTAAAATACTGTCCGTTTTTATATTCTGGATTCATCACGATGATGAATATTTCACTCCCAAGTTTTATTGCTTCAAAGCAATTAGATGATGCTCATGTTATAAGTGCATGTGATGAGAGGGTTTTATTTGTAAATGGATACAGGATGCAAAGGATCCGGAAGCTCTTGCCAACCTGGTTGTATGCAGTCTTCACCTTGGTAATCATCTTCACGTTAAGGTAAACTAGCTTTTCGTTTCCTCTATTTTGGGCTTTCCTTTTTGTTTTTTTCCTTGACTAATTCGATTACATTTTCCCAAAGTGCTCTATAAAAGAGTACAAAAGGCTAGTTTGGTTTATCAAAAAGAGTCCAACATGTTCAATGGTTAATACTTGGTAACTAGATTAATGGGATACACCATACTAAGAGTTTTCATTTGTTATTCATGTTAGCATATTTTATTCCTGTCTGTATTTTTATCGGATATAGTGGAACAGTACAAAAATTAGTGTATCTCTGAACCTGCTAACCAAATCGCTAAGTTTCTATTCTGGTTTGCCAAAGTTGGCAACATAGCCACGTCTTAATTTTGAGGCTTGATATTTCAAGCCTTATTGCTAGGTCCTCCCTCCTGTAAAGAAGTTTGTAGACTAATATCTTACTTTTCTGCTGTTGCTGTTCTAGATCTTAACTGATGTGCTGCATTCATAATTGATTTTTTAAATGCCATAATCCTTACCGTGTAATGATTAAATATGAATGCAGCCAATTGAAACTCACACATCCAGAACACATTCTTGTTAAGCATGTATCATCATCGGCCGAAGATAATTTTGAAAGAGCAGTGCAATCAGTTGCTTGAAGATGTGGAGTTTGTTTTTGATAAAAGGTAAACGGTTATGCCTGGGCACAACTGTTAGGTGGCGTTTGGTTGGATGGAATCCCTTGAAATTGGTGGGAATTGGAATCTAATTTCACCACTTTCCCATGTTTGGTTCAAGTTTTTCAAGGGAATTGGAATCCCTGATGGAATTCAATTCATCAAATGAGGAAAAGTGAATTTCATCCAAATTGTTGGAGGGAATTGAAATTTGATCATACTACCCTCATCAATCCTTTGGTAACTTATTCATATATTGAATAAAAATATTTTTTTATTATTTCGGGTTGGATTTCTAATTCATATGGTCGGGTCGGGTGAAACTTTATTTTGGTCGGGTCGGGTTCGGGTTTAGGGTGAAAAAAATTGGACCGACCCGAAAATATATATAATTCAGGTCAGGTCGGATTAAGTCACTGTTTTTATTATTTCGGGTCGGGTAGGGTTGGATTTCTAATTCATATATTCGAGTCGGGCCGGGTGAAACTTTATTTTGTTCGGGTCGGGTCGGGTTTTTTAAGTGTGATATTCGGGTCGAGTCGGTTGGGTTTTTTTAAGTGTGATATTCGGGTTAAGTCGGGTTCGGGTTTAGGGTGAAAAAACCGGACCAACCCGAAAAAAATATATAATTTTACCTTATATATTTAAGAATAATTATAATAATATCCCTCTATATATAATTTTTTTCAATTAAGTTAATGTTTTTATTGAATAAAAATAATTTTTTTATTATTGAGTCGTGTCGGGTCGAGTTTCTAATTAATATATTGAATAAAAATAGTTTTTGGTATATTTTTTAGTAACTAATTAATATACTCCGATTGGAATGTATCGAAATATTACTCCATCTTTTGGTAACTTATTAACATATTTTTATTGCGATGATTTTAACTTATAATGTTTATTAGCATGATTTTTATAATTTATTGAAATGAATAATCAATCAATAAAATGAAAATTTAATATTTTTTAGTTTTTTATAATATATTACTACATGTAAGTTGTAAAATAAACTAAAATAAAGCAAAAAAATAAAAAGGGCAATTCTGTTATTTTACATTATTGAAATCAAATTCATCTGACATGTCTGCGAACCAAACATAATATGAAATTGGATTTCAATTTTATTTCCTGCCAACCAAACAGAATATGGAATTGGATTTCAATTCTTACAGATTCTAATTCCTTCACAGATTCTAATTCCCAAACATTCTAGCAAACCAAACGTCACTTTAGTCCTATTATTCTCTGGGTTTTACAACTTGCCATAATCAATATATATTCCGTGTGTTGACGAAAGAGGAGGTTTGGGTTGTTGTTGTTGGCTGGTTGGTTAGATAAGGTAAAATTCATATACTGAAGTCTAAATAAATGGTTCTATTTGCTTTCATTCTTTTTTTAAAAAAATGGTATTATGATAACTTTTTTATTTTTATTTTCTTTTTTAAAAAGGAAAATAGAGTTCATTTTCTATTTGCTTTCATTTTTTTTTAAATGGTATTGCAGTGAAGTGAGTGTACTTTGAACAGTCGCATTGCACCCAGGTCAAGCATATCCAAATGTCAATTTCATAAACAATAGTCGACCACCTGCACGCCATCCATCATTCAATTCAACTAAGTGCTTATTTTTGTAACAGGAAGGACCAATAATGATCTAAGCATAGCTCTTAACATACCTTATATTGACCGCTCCCGAAGTTCATGGCATGCCCACTACCATCCAACCAACCCGACATATACCGAAAATTTCTTGAACTGTCTGACGTCTCTACTGTCCAATTTCAATGACCAAATCATTAGCAACATCATTTCTCATTAGATGGTGTGTAATGAGGCACTCGAATCAAGCACCCAATATATGTGAGTTCATTTCATGTTGAATACATTTTTGCTTGAAATTTCCAGCAATTAACCAATACCACATGCAAAGAGCCAAAGAGCCAACCATACATCCAAAATCAAACTTTATTTATTTATTATATGTCCAAATAATTATTTTTTTATTGAGAAAATAAGTGGATTCATTTAATTCTAAAACCTATATAATTTTATTAAATATTAAAATTGAAATTTAGGTATCATATTAATAAATATAATTTTAAATTTTATTAAAGAGAAGTAGAAAACGCAAATGTGTGGTACAAGACAAATCATTTGTCATATTCTCTTATCTTCTCATATTGTGCGAGTGATAGAGTGAATAAATCTGGGCCACGGATACAACAGACAAACACTTCCTAATATCTATTCTGACTCTTGAAATTGCTCCATCTCTCTCTTGTTCCACTCATCACTGCTTTGCCTCCCAATTATTGCCTTCTTCTCTTTGATCCTTAATTTATTGTGTATTTCATCATTATATCGATATACAGTTATACACTACACAAATATGTGTTTCATATTCATTGAAAATACTAAAATCTGAGTCACTCAGAGAAATTAATATGTTTATTATAAACAACATTTTTAACATTCGAACACGTAAATAAATTAAATATATATAAATATTTGAATCTACCGTTCATATTATTGTCGTTAATCTTTTATATGTTAAGAAATTGAAACGTCCCAAGATCCCAAGGTTACGTTTCAACTGGTTCCTTGTTCGTAAAGAAAATCATATATTTTTAATATATGAATATACTCGACCAACTAATGAATCTACGGAGGATGATTTCTTTAATTTTTTTTTTAAAATAACATTCAATTTTTAAAAATTTTAAGAATAATTATTAGATTGTTTTAATAATCTCTTATTTAAAAAAAATCTAACAATATATTATATTGTATAATATAACCCTGAAAAAAATTAATTGTCCTCTAAAAATGCAATACAAGATCCATCACTGTTGTGGATTCAGCATTATTTCCATCATTAATTGTCCTCTAAAAATGGTTTGGCTGTTCATTGCTGCAATACAATTCTACTACAAATCCGTGTCTAATAATTATTGGTTAACAATTATTAACAAATTCTCTCCTGCTCACACACACACGCATATATAGGTACCGATGATCAACATTTCAAATCCATTGTTCTTCAAATGCAGAGAACAAGGAACACATTAGCAAAGGAATCATCCTTGATCCAACAACTGTATCCGTTGTTGTAGCTTCACTACCCTAGCTAACCAGCAATTCCAAAAGCCAATTAAATTCAACATGTCAGCCGCCGTAGCAGCCGCCGCCGCCGCCGCAAGAGTCTCATCTAACCGCAGTTCTCATCATCGAAGTAACCAGCAGGCAGTGAACCATCAACGTTGGACACCCATTTTCCCACCATCGCCACAACCCGCACTGCTCGTCCCAGCTTTTAGCCGCTATGAATCACAGAAGCAACGTGACTGGAACGCGTTCGTGCAGTACCTGAAGATGCATCGCCCACACTTGTGTCTCTCCCAGTGCAGCGGCGTACACGTGCTCGAATTCTTGGAGTATCGGTTCGTGGACACCAAAATCCACACCCAGAACTGTCCCTTTTTGGTGGACCGACCTGAACCACCATCGTCATGCTCTTGCCCTCTCAAGGAAGATTGGAGCAGCTTGGATGGTCTGGTCGGCCGGCTCCGTGTGGCTTTTGAGGAGAACGGAGGTCAACCGGTGATGAACCCTTTCAGTGCCGGAGTTGTAAGGCTGTACCTGAGGCAAGTGAAGGAGGCTCAAGCAAAGGGTAGATGAAATAGCTCACTCGCAAAGAAGAACTCAACAGCTGCTGATAATAATGATATGCCTGGAAATCCCATTTCCCCGGAGACCTGATATATGTTGTAGTTGGTCGCTGTCACTGGACTACTAATCTGCAGCTTTTTCTTTTCTTCATACATCAGATTAATGGAAGAATATCAAAGGACTGTTTTGATTCTCCAAATTTCATTTGATTTTAATACTCAATCTTATACTTTAATTACAAAATGCACCATAGCTGAGCTTGAAATTCTACTCTACTTCAAAACTTTGAAATCTCATTATTCCTCATTAATTTTAATATTAACTTTAAATTTTTGAATATGTAATTATTATATGGCTAAATCAAAAAAGTTTAACAAATATACTGCTATGATTCTCTCATACCTATAATTAAAAAATAACTATATTTATATATATTCATGACTTTAAAAAATAAATTAATTCAAAACTCGTTTGACAAATGTTGACTCGATCTTAATTTTCTAGTACCTATTTGTCCGCACATATCATAATGTAATTTTCATTGTGCTGTGAATGATAAGTATAATCAATGGAGGAATACAGTGAGGACGAGGACATGCCTTTAAAATTGTAGTAAATTATCATTTGGTCCGTTAAGATTTTTAAAAATTTTATTAGAATTTAATTGTCTTAAAATAAAGGATATAATGTAATTGATGCATTTATATTACGTCTATGTATTTTTTTTACATAAAATCATATTTTTAATATTATAGAGAGAGATATTCTGAAAATTATTAATATTTTTAAATAAGGAAAAGATAACAACTTTTAAGAATTAATTTAAAATCTGATGTCAGTTAAAATTAAACTAATTTATTTATTAGTACATCATAAATTCGGTCGATAATTTAATAATTAATTATATATATATATATATATTTACATGGGTAATAATTATACTTACGTCGCATTCAAGGATGTAATTGGAGGTGATGTGTCGCTTATTTTTCCTCCACAAAAGTAAAAATGGTTAGAAGAGGAATGGATGTCAGATATAGACTTGATTTTGACAATTGATGTATCCCTGGGGAGGGATCGATTTGCTTTGCTTTGCTTTGCTTTTCTTGGACACATTCTTTTCCAAACACTCTCCTCATTATTACTCCTTTACAATTTCATTCAATTCTTCCCCCCAATTAATAGGATAATAACATTTTAGCCACGATATCTATCAATTTTTATAACATGGTTTTAAGATTGAATGGATCTACAAACAATTTTAATTTAAAATTATTCGTTATATATTATATATGATTTCTACTATAATTAATAAGATTTAAGACTAGAATATCTATGTGGTATATAAAAAGAAGTAACAGTTTAGGGAATTGCATGTTTGAATTATTGTGGAATAGCATATAAATATGCTTAATAATTAGAGAAAGAAAAAAAGCATTTTAATCATAGAGATAAATGCAAAGCCGATGCTTGAATTATTGTAGAATAGCATATGAATATGCTTATATAATTAGGAAACAGAATACATGCGCCATCAAATACACAAGGGTGTTGATCATGCATGACTTCAAATTTTACTCTTTCTTTTAAATCCTGATTAAGATGGAAATACACAACAATGGAATGAGAAATTGTAAAGTAAGGTTGTGGAAGAAGGATGCCCACACTTGTCCCACGGGACTTGAGAACAACACAAACTTTCTTTCATGACCTAATTAGGGTTTCCATCGTTGGGCCAGAAATCAAGGCCTTCGTTTCTGTGGCTTTGATAAGACAAGGCTTAGCCCAAATATATATATTTGCTCAACTCTGTACAAGTTTCCATCCTTAAATCTGCCTCGCCTCTGAAACGCAAACCCAACCAATGAAGTTGATTCCTTCGGACTAAGTTTAAAACCAAATTGATGCAGAGATTGTTAATACATTGTTTCAAAACAATTCTCATTTTTCAAATAAAATTCACTTTAATAAAGGAAGCATGTCTTGTTGCTTTATCATGCTTGGATGTTTACTGAGATGTTGAGACGTCCTTTATTGCGCAGTTGATTAAAAATCTCAATAATTAAATGTTACGTTTTAAAAGAAATATTATCGTTAAATATTAAAAAAAAAATTCGTAACGAGTCTCGATAAACAACTTGCAGGGAGAGAGTCTTGAAATGGTGTAGGACGTAAACTATTTATCGTTATTTATCACTTAATGCTGAAACATCAGACAACAACAAATATTTATATATAAAGTTAATAAAATTCAGAGAAGTTGTTGAGACAATAAAAAAGCCTCTCAACATCTATAAACCAAAAACAGATTCTCGCCAAAGAAGCTATTTTTAACATTATGAAACCAACAATTCTTGCATTAATCAGGAAAAGAAGTTGAATCGGCTTTGTTTGGTAAAGAAGAAAAGTTAAAAAAAAATCATCATCACTCATTTGCACATATCCCTAGATAATAAGATTTGACAAAGAAGTCAAGCTTTTCAAACGATTTTTTTACCACCTATTTACTCACCATCAAAGCATTTTAATCATGGGTTTCTCCCCCTCTCTCCCTTAATAAATTTCCACTAAAAAGAAAAGAAAAAAATGAAGGAAGGAAGGGCAAGTCCATCCTAAATCAATCTGCTGCCTGAGTTTTCCAGTCATGTCTGATGGCACGAATTTGTTTGCACTATTTAAACCTTCTGTTCCTCAGCTTTCTGTCCCATCCAAAAGGAATGTGGGACTCCACTCATCCCGTTCCCCCTAATCTCCCGTACTATTCTGGTGAATAGCAACAAAAATATAACCCCAACATGGTCATAAGGGTTCATAGCATGACCTTGAATCCGAATTAAACTTCAAATTCAAGGTTTATGGCTTTTCTTTTAATTAGAAAGAAGCACCGTTGTTCCCTGGACAACCAAACAGGCCAAAAGGATCCGTTGTTTTCTTTTCTTTCTGCTCATCCTGACTGAATCCATGTGGAAACAATTGGTTAAGAGGGTCTGTCTCTATCTCATCCAATTCAGCAAAGAAATCCTCGGCTTGCTGGGAGTCTGCCATTAATGCCGGTGTGTAGTTTTGAGGGATTCCTTGGGCAAATTCACCATCCTCCATTTCCAGCTTCTTCTCCATGTCCTCGCTCTCTTCTTTAGCCGATGCACTTGCGGTTGAGCTGACAACAGCAGCTACATTAGTGGGAGACAATGAATCGTTGCTGCTCTCTTTAAGCTCTTCATCCTTGGGGTTTATTATCTTGGGGGCGGAAGAAGCATTATTGGTTTTGGATGGCTGAGACCTTGTTGATCCCGCGAGAGCATTCCTTTGAGTCGGCCATGGATGATTGTGCTCGGATGTGTAGGTGATCACAAGCATGTTGGGATCATTTCGGCTTCGCTCCACTTGCTTCCTTGCAGAGCAGCCTTTGGAACTGCTGCATCTGTAGTATCCCCTGGAATAAACTTATCAATTACCCGATGAAATGCACAATCTGAATCATAATATATTTCCATATAAACATAGATATATACATGATAGTGAAGCAAAGAAGAGAGGGAAAAGAGACATAGGTTATTTATGTTTGTATATATTAGGAAAAACATCGGCGATCGGTGAGCATGTACAATGAACTACTGTGCAATACACTGCGAGTGAAATCACTCGGCATGCTCTTATATTATTATAACTAAGAAACACTACAAAGCAACCAAAAAACATGATTTCTGCATCTTGTCATCTCAGAAGACAGCAGGATAGCTACTGCAACTGCAGCTTTAGTTTCTAAAACTTATTAGTAGCTTTTGGCTACTCATCTTGCCAATGATAACGTAACTGACTAGTAATTATATTATGTTTCACTGATATAATATAATATTCTATATACATAAATATATTTATATATGCACCTTGGATAAGGGGAACCTTTGATGGGTTTCTGCCCATATTTTCTCCATGCCCACAGATCAGAAGGAACTACTTCTCCACTAGACCTGCTGTTTGCAGCTGCTGGTGCTGGAATACAAACCACCTTCTTAACCTGGGTCTTTCTATATATATATATACATTTCCACAACAATTTACGTTATTTATTTTGAAACTTAATCTTTTAACAAACATTGAAAGAAGAGCATTCAGGCGCATGAGATGAGATTATTTTGGACATAATTTTTCCCAAAGAATGTGAAAGTGATTGTTGTTCAATATATTTAAAGACAAATAGCAGTGAACACCATCATTCATGATATTTCAGGTGGGTTAAGGAAGAAAAGTTAAGTACTTTCATATAACTACTCGAAAGCAAAGTTTCCAATTAAGCTATCTATCTAACTTTCATACACTTCAGTGCATAAAATTCAACACGTATTTATGAGTTTTGATTCATTAGTAACAATAAACCCTAATTGTCTCATCTACTACATGGTTTTATGAAAGAAAAAAGAAAACCCAAAGTTCAAAAAAATTCGTTAGTTGATTTAGTTCCCTAAATGTTATTAATTCGTGCATCATGGGTGTCAATCAATGAAACAAGAAGAATATAAAAATATAGTAGCTAGTTGAGGGGTTTATTTTCAGAGTAAAATAACGAAGGCTGAGCTTAGAGAATTAAATATTACCCGAACCTCCTCTTGATACCCAGATTCCGCGGAGATGAGATCTGCACTGGGCCAATATTATCGATCAATCTATGTTTTGAGGTGGTTTTGGCGTTAATCATGTCGCTTGGAAGCACAGCAGGCGCCTTAATTCCTCTTAGGGAAACACCCGTTGCAGTCATTATCGGCGAATCACAGGGCGACAAAGGTAGATTACTTGAGCTTACCGGGAAGATCTGAATCCGAGAAAATATGTTACAAGGACTCCGCATATCTTCTTCAAACAGCTTACTTTGACCCACGGTTGTTGTTGAATCGGGGAAGTTCGTCGCATCATCAACGGTGGTGGAGCTGTTATTGATGATACGACGATGATCGGCTGAACTAGGGCTGCTAAAATATGTCGAACCAGCAGCCACATCGAGCTCGTGAAGAAGTGGATCGGAGATACTCGAGAAAGGGTCACCGAAAGCGTTTAAACCATAACCTTCCATGGCTGAAGATGAGAAATTCAATGGATCAGAGGGGAATTGCTGCCAGCTTGAAGTTGGAACCGTATCCGAGCCTTGACTAATGACACAGCTCAATGGACCACCACCACTTGCCCGAACTATGTCGTTTAAATCACCTTTGCCTCGGTAGTTCTCCATTTGTAAAGAAACATGTAAGAAGCAAACAGCGGGTTTTCTCTTATAAAAAGAAAAGAGAGAGAGAGAGAGAGAGAGAGAGAACCTACATCTACAGTGTCTCCATTCCCACACTGCTCTGAGCTTCAATTTGCACCAGCACTAATTGCAGACGTGAAAAAACATGCAAATGTTTTGAATTTTGTAGAGATGGGTTTTGGCTATTGGAAGCAAAGGAACAGGGTTCTTTTTGTTTAAAGGTTTCAGAACAAAACCGATCGACCAAAATAATCTTCTTTCTTCACATCAAAAGCAAACAAAATAAACTCAAGACTATTTCTTTTCTGTTCTTTCCTGGAGAGAGAGAGAGAGAGAGATGGGGGAGAGAGTCGCTGACTTTTAATACAAAACTGGTCATTTTTAAATATAAAAATTAATGAACAAATGGTAATATTACTAAAACAGTATTACAGGAGTTAAGACCAAATGGGTCCAATTCATATAACCTCACTAGATTGTGTGTGTGTGTGTGTTTTAGTTGAAGTTCTCTTAACGTTATACCTAAATAAAACTATAACATTGGATTTCTATAGTGGAGCATATTTTTAAAACAAAGCAATATTTTACTTGAAATAAGTACTTAAATATAAATTATTTAATTGTAAAATAATTAAAAAGACATATAAATAAAGCAGTGAAATTAATACTCGTTAAATGTTGTTTTTACAATAATACTTGTTAAATGTTCTGTGCTAAAAAACGAAGGGAAAATGTATTGTATTGTTTTGGGTTTCCAAAAACAAAAGCAGTAGGGGTCCGAGGGAAAAGCGTTTGGGGATAGCGATTGGTTTATTGAAGCGTGGGCGGGGCAGTGCAGTGCGTTTGGTTTAAAACTTCGACGCGGGATCAGGACCTCTCATAGTGATTCTTCACTTCTTGATTTTGCTTTCTGTTGTTTATTACTATCAGTAGGGTGCTCAAAAATATTCAATTCAGATGATTTGACCTGTTAACATGTCGACTCATATGAAAATTATCGGATATTTACATTGAAAATATTTGAAATTTTTGGATCGAGTATTAGACCTATTTTTTTTGAGTCTTCGAATCAAGCTCGGATCACAAAATATTACTTAATTGAGTATCCGCCAACCTTGAATCCAAAACCTTTTTAATTTATTTTTTAATATATTTCTTTAGTTGTATTTTCTTTATACTCTTAATATTTAAGTTTAATATTTGGATTATGTAATTTGAATTTTTAAGTGCTTAAGTTTGTTCGAATTTTAATTTTTCAGAAAAATTATTGCATAATTTTTGTAGTTTGAAAAAAAGGAACCAAGTACCCTATTTCCCAAATCAACGGGTACCTTGATGTTACGGGTTGGATCATGGGTCGATTTTTTTATCTAGGTCCGAATACCCAATACTTCCGATTCCAAAAAAAAACAGATACCCGATTTTTAACACCCCTTTACCCAACCCGCATCCAATATCCCACTATTTTGATGCAAACGAAAAACAATACCTTTTTTTTAAGGATAAGTGTACATTTTTAAAATAATAAAATGTAAATGTATATATAATTTGTTATATTAATGAAACATTTATATCCTTCATTATATATATTAGAAATATTTTTCATTTTTAAATATGTATTTACATAGTATAATTTTATATTTTTTAACCAATTCTATGATTGAGAGAGAGAATTTTGTTCTTAATGAGTATTGTACTCACAACCTAAAGAGAAGCACTGCTTCAAAAATTGTTGACGAATAACATATTATTAAACGAGAACAAAAATGAAAAATAAGTTATTCATGACATTAAAAAACTACACCAATATGTTTCTATTAGACTATAATAAATTTTGTAATGCTATTTACTAATAATTAAAATAATTTTATAATTAACATTATTTAATTAATGATTAATTAATAAAAAATATTAAAGATTGTAAAAAATAATTAACATTATAATTAATTGAGAATAAATTCATCATTAAAAAATTCATATGAGAAGAAGTAAGTATTTTTCAAACAAGAGATAAATGAAATTTCCACCACATCAAAGGAGAAAATATCTTTTATCAAAATAAAATATAAACTAAAAATGTACATATAGTAATTAGGTATGATATCTAAACTTATTATCAGAAAATGCTTAAACTCGATCTTATCGTTAACGTAATATAAAAGTTATTCAACATCCACCGAAGCTTCTTGTGCAACAACGGCACAACAGTCGAAAGCTCGTCTAAGGATTGGTCACGACATAATTTCGTCAAAGTGTATGCTTGACCCTGCTCTCATTTTATCTGACATATTTGTATCTTCCAACCCTTTTAAATCAGACTTCGGATTAACTCCGCCATGACTTGATCGCAAAGCTTGCTTGATGGAATCACTTTAGGAATGTCTGCATCCTAAATAAATTTTGATGCAATAATTCTTGAATACCTTGATGATATATTTGAATACTATGATCTTGATAAATCACTTCCTGAATAACTGATGAATCCGTTTGCTATCAAACCCTCTCTTTATAGGGATATCGTTTCTGAAATTCAATCAGTTTGCAAAATTTTCGTGCTTTTCCTGCTTGATAATTGCTAAGTACCTCTGGAAAATAACTGGATCCTCTAGTGTGTTCCCTATGTGCTATATGAATATTTTATCTGTCCTAAAATTTGATTTACTGAAGTTAATGGTTTACTGAATCTTTAAACTGTTCGATATTCTGATTTATTGATATATTGATTTACTGTTTATGAACTATGACTACATGATATGTGATCCCTGGTTACCTCTTTTCACTGGAAAATATAATCGTTCCTAATTTATGGATCATGGAATCTACTGTTTACTGTATGAACCAATTATTGAGATATTGTATGGGTAGGATTCTGAAGTGTGGAGGTACAACTCTGATCAAGTTGGTAATTCCTTACGGACTTAAGATGACCTTTGGTAGGCTCTGAGGCCCCAAAGCATTTCCTTGGGTAGGCTCTAAGGCCCCAAGGTACTTCATTGGGTAGGCTCTTAGGCCCTAATGTACTCCCTTGGTAGGCTCTCAAGCCCAAAGATATTATCTTAGGTTGACACTTACGCCCAATGGGCCTAGGGTAAGTCTTTATGGATGCAGTTATGGGGAAATGAATATCGGTGTTTAGTTGGAGGGTATTACTGTTGTATTAAAAATATGTTTTAAATTGTTACTATTTTAAAATACATGTACACTTTCTCTGGTTTTGTTGGAACACACTAGACTCCTCATCTTAATCTCCTAAATCTGCCTTTCTGAATATTTTCATATTTTGATTTCCTGATGGTTACTTGAAGAAATAATTAATGAAATATGAGCTCGTCGCTAGAATCTGATGATGTTTGTATCGTTAAGAAAATTTATATTTTACATTATACTTGGTGACCTATTGCATTCATCTGGTAGTTCTGTATTACTGAGCTTTCCAAAGCTCACTTTTTTACTTACCATTTCAGGTTAAAGAGTTTGATCATGTGCTTTTACTAATGCCAGTAAAGGAGTTCTACCGGCGTTGCTTGCAGAGTACGGTGCACGCAATTAGGGGGTTGTAGGTTGTATTTTATTTTTATATTCGAGTCTGAAACTTGTTTTATTACTGGATATTGTTGAATTCTATTTTTAATAAATGATTTTTTGAACTTGTATTGTAACACCCTCAACCTGTACCCGACCCGGATACGAGTCTGAGGTGTCACGTTGACTTTTCAACCTCTGACTCTTGACGAAAAATCAAGGAAATTTAAAACTTTCGTTAACATAAAAACGGTTTACTTGCATGACATGACTAAAACAACCAAAATTGATCAGAGCATTCATAACTGACACTTTACTTACATGCCAACATACTATACACGACAAAATACATACTTTATCAGTTACTTCTGATATGATCTTCTGGCAGTGCTGCTGTTATTGCTACTCCTATTTCGGTTCTGCTCGACTCTTGGAACCTACGTGTAAATCACTTACACGCTAAGTCATAGACTTAGTGAGGCATAACATAAATATATATATACGCATGTATAACAATGAATTTATGAACATGCATCATTATCATTGATCATGACATCTTAACTTGCATATATTTACTATACTATAACATATATGATGATAGTATGCACATATAAGACATATATTTTTATTTTGATTTCGCTTTAATTTATCTTTGAATTGCCCATGTACATTATTGAGAACAAATGTATGTGAGTACATAGAGGTTGTGCACTATGCTGTCACCACAGCTCGTATAATTCCCTCAAGGGGCACTGAATATTTTTCCCGAATGACCACTATGTCCTGAAAGACCACTGATTGTTCCGAATAACCACTTGTCCCGAATGACCACTCCTTAAGAACCATATACATAATACAATGGACCAAATAAGTGTACCAAAGTACCACATATATGTTCCACAGAATTACATATATGTCCCGAAAGACCATGTAGAACCCTCGACTCTTGGCATGCCAATTATACCTACAGCTCTCATATTAACTCACATGGGCTTAAATATGAATACATTTCTCATTTTCATATCTTCTTATCACTTTTCATATAAACATGTATTTCACTTCATATACACACATATGATCACTTTCATTATTTCACATACCTGGATTGATCCTCTGACAATTTCATTTTTTCATATAATATCATATTAAAGCATACATGAACTATACATGAAATCACTGTATCCAATATATATATGTGGATGCATGTACATTAATATGAAATCAGGAATTCAACTATAATAGATAGACTTATCGCAAGTCTTATCTCCATACATTTATATCCAGTATGGGCCCTCACCTTAGCCTTGCTTTAACTCAATGCTAATCTCTCGATTGTTCCGGAACGAGATTACGTTCTAAATCTACATAGTAATACATTGATACATATCAGTATACTAATTGATATATTATAAACTATCACTCCTTAGGCTAAAAAGAAAGCTATTTTTATCTTTTAATGAAGGTATGCATCGATGCACTACACCATGTATCGATGCATCCCTTGACGGGTGCATCGATGCACTATCTGTGCATCGGTGCATAAATCCCATTCGAAGTTTGTATTTTAAGTAGGTGCATCGATGCACTCCTCATGC